CATACAAATGCTGAAAACATCTCTATAGAGGAGATCGAACTTGCTGTTGAAAACCGAGCATATTGGAAAAACACCGAGGTATAATTAACTGAGAGAATGAAGAACCAACACTAAATCACGGTCTAATACATCAGCCCATATGACGGTCAACCCTTCAGCATGTCCCTCTCGTGGACTTGTTTGCAAATCTCGTGCAGGATTGATGTCGTATATTCGAAATATAAACATAAAAACTGAAATGAAAGACACTCATACGTCGAAAACGACGGTAGAGTCCATTATATATATATATATATAGAGAGAGAGAGAGGGGAGACAGACAGACAGAGAGAGAGAGAGAGGGGGAGACAGACAGACAGAGATAGAGAGAGAGAGAGAGAGAGAGAGAGAGACAGACAGACAGAGATAGAGAGAGATAATGAAATCTCCTGACGGTTGGACAGAACAATTACAAAAGTTCATCTCCGGAACTCAGGATGGAAACAACATATATTCACATTAACTAAGTAAACCAAGAGAGTCTATCTTAACCAGGGTCGGGCTGACAGGAAACCGCCTTGTGGCGTTAAAAGGGACTAAAAAAAAAAGAAGAAAAACCAACAAAAACCAAGAAAGATCATAACTAATTTGCGTGAAAATTGGCTAGGAAGATATCCCAACAAGCATCTATATTTTTTCTCTATAAATTTGTGTTATACCAGAACATTACCTATTCTATTGTAATAGACTCTCCCACACATAATAAGTAGTAGTAGTAGTAGTAGCGGTCGCCAGTTGGGCTCAGTGGAGTTGAGTGAGTCAGTCGATGTCGGACATTGAAGTATCAACCACCCCAAATAGATTGCTGCGTCATTAACTATTATTTTCAAGTTCCTAATGTTTTGTACGTCGGACCCTTTTAGGACCGACTTAGTGAAATACAAGCCTCCACTGTGAAAACTACTTTACAACAATTGGGGAGGGATATTTTTTAGTCATTCCGTTCGGATTTGAGTCAAGAATTTTGAAGAGATGCATTTTCCGGACATTACACATTTTCTACTCTGTACATCTCAGATTACTTCTTGTTTTAATTCTCCAAGGGGAAGACGTCAATTAGTTAGTGTCATAATTTAATAAGAGTACATAGATTCACCTATTTCCAGATCACACTCTTCCTTAGTTTAGTTTTTTAACAGAGAATTAGAGGTTTATCGCTTGTTTCTTGTTTAGAACTGGGTTTCCGGTCCCTTCTAAAGTTTTCTCCTCCACTTTCCCTCCCAGTAGCCCCTTGCGTCTTAGTGGCATTATCGCCTTGCTCGGAATGAATTGATTTAAAAAAAAAAATCAGCATTTTTCCTGTTTTTTACGAGTGGACCAGTCAACTCAAGTAGTTTCTTTCCTTCTATTTCATCTCACTTTTTCTTCCCCCGCCCCATAACACTTTTTTTTTCTTTTTCTCCCTCCGTTCATTTCTCGTAAGGCAAACCGATGTTACACACCTAATTGCTGAAAGCGTTTCACTCCGTTTATTCATAAATCAAGCACGGCGGACGCTGGCCGGCCACGAATGTCAGGGGTGAATAAATTATCTATTGCATTTACGACGTTTCCTAAGCGGGTATCTGCATCGGACAGACGCTGTCATTAGCCCCCAAGAGAACGACCCCCAAGATCGATGACTCTTTCTCTCTCTCCCTCCTACTCCTGCTGAGATTTGCAGCAGAGGCAGGTGTTTCAGATAAAGTACTTCAAAGATGCAGGAATGCACAAACATCCTACCCCAGTCTCACATCTAACATACTGTTATCCAGTTCTGTTCGTATGCATTTGTTTGCTAATTAAAGCAACTACAGAAAGTTAATAATGTTTTCTTCGGGTACCTTTGACCATCGCTTGTCATTATCAAAAATGTGAATATTAATACAGTGACGTGCCAAAAGTCATCTGTTAGCAGTATATAAAGGCAATAGTAGGTTGCGCCATAGTAACTTCATATCAGGACCAGATCTATATTACTTGCTCTGACATCTGGTGAGTCAATGTGAATTCCTGTTAGACCACCAATGATAAATACATTAAAACTTTTTCTTTAGACAAGTGTTTTTACAAGAAAATCTTTCTTTTTTGAAGTGCTTTTTAAAGGTGGATTAAAAAAGTGTTTTATTTTCTTTTAGGGTAACTCTTGTAGCATACCTACGTACGGTAATGGGTATGTCTCCATTCACATAAATACAGTAGTAAATACTGTATGGTGGTCTGCAGTTGAAGATTCATTGTGGAATTCACTTGACTCACTTCTAGCTGGCGGATCTTATATGTGTTGTTCTTGTCCTAAGTATTATCGTTCATTACCCACCTTCGTTTGATTATTCTATTCAGTAACCTTCCCTAGGTTACAACAGTAACTTTTTAAGCAAACAATATATGCAAGACAAAAGTTGGCAAAGCAAGAGTAATATGTCAAAAAGTTCACAAACACAAAAGGGGATACAGACAAGCAATCGCAGCGTTCTGATTTTAAAACTAAGAAGACCAGAACTAAGTCGGATGAGACCGAGAAGCGGCCTATCATACTGGCTAGGAAGAAATCCCAGCATGCATCTATTTGTATGTTTTGTTTATAACATTAGGTAGGGAGTAGCTTTTACTCATTCCCTTCGGATTGGGATGAATAATTTGTAAAAAAAAATGCATTTTCCGGATATTACACTTTTTCTTCTCGTTATATCTCAGATTACTTTAGACAGTGGATAGGTTTGCCTTTCATCCAAATCACTCCTTTCAAAAGACTTCAGAAGGAAAGAACTCTCTTTTAAAGGCAGATTTTACGGTGTGCGTTGTTTGTTTTGTTTTTTTTTTGGGGGGGGTTACTTTCTGTAAGAGATTCCTTCTATTATAAAATCGTTCAAGAAAGATTCTGTCAGGAAGACTATCATTGTCAAGACACTTTTAGAGAGAATTTAACGGCTACCTTTAAGGCTGAGTATCTGTCAATAAACGTGACAAATTGGTGTTTGAACGGGGTGTGTTAGTGGGTGTCAGACGGTGGGACATTCCATTTCTGAAATTGTGGAGAGATTTGATATCTCTTAATCTACAGTGTCACCTGTGTACCGGGAACACCTGATCGAGGGCATTAACGAACAACGTGAACGGCGCACTGACCGACCACGTTTCATTAATGATTGTAACCAACGGCGTTTGGCTAGAATAGTCTGCGGTAACATACTAACGACACTAGGTCTAACCGTATCCACATTCAATGCAATAACGGTTCTCGCATGATCATCGAAGTTAAGCAACGTCGAGGATGGTTTGTAACTAGATGGGTAACCTCTTGAAGATACCAGGTGCTGCAATGTTGTACTTGTGGGTGTGAATAACGGCTCGGGATTTGAAATCTGAGAGCCGAGTTCCAGTTACAATCGAATTCGTTATATTAGGTTGGTGCAAAAATAATGACGTAATAATGTCGTTTTTTGACGTATTTTTTAACGTCAAAAAACGACATTGTTACGTCATTATTTTTGCACCAACCTAATAGTTACTTGTGCGCAAATATCATTGGAAAAATATAAATCTATTTATTCTCCCTCCATCTATGGGTTAAATAACAGGACTTGAATCAGTAAATCATTATTACCTCAACCAATTTTTACAATCTGGTTTTTAAATAACCTGCAGAAGGTTGATAAGCTGTAAAAAAAAAAATCAATCAGTAAATCAATCAACCGTTGAACATGACTTTTACTTCCTGTTCCTAATGTTTAAGTTACATAATATCCTAAGTTGTGTATAAAAAAAAATCTAATAATCAAATAAAATAATAACACGGATAAATTTAATATATTATTTTATGGGAGAGTCGAGTTCTGAGAAACATTTTCCCACGAGATGTCGCTTATACGATATGGCCGAGTAGTTTTAAGCCCTCGCTCGTATATATAAACTTCTATGTAGTTTATTAAATATGTATTCCTTTTGATATTTTTAATTCTAAAGTGCGTCATTTGAAAGCAGGATTTAATTCCTTTTGTAGAATAAAGAAATCGACGACGACAAGGTATTTCCGTTTATTTGAAATGTAAAATGTCTAAGGGAATTTTTACGCTCTGAGTCTTTTTGAACTTGAGTCAACATTAATTTCAGTAGGTGTAAATTCCTCCACATCCTCACAAGTTGATATCTACCCGCCATTTTTCACACACCGACACGCTCGTGGGATTCGAAGGTGTGCTACTTTCTCTCTCTTTCTGTCTTTATCGCACTCTCCCTATTTATCCCCTCTCTCTCTCTCTCCCTCTCTCTCTCACACACACGCACACACATACACACACGCTATGTGTGTCTATTTCTCTGAGTTATATTCAAGACCTTTACCCAGATTCGTGTTGCTCCAAAGAGAAATGAAATTTCACAGCCAAGTTATGTCGGACATTTGTTGTTTCTTGCGGTCAAACACCTTTACTTTTTCGTTTTCTTTTTTCTTCTCTTATTCAGTTAATATTTATTTCGTTCTTTCTTTTATTGTGTTCTTTTGCCCTTCTTTCTCAATTTCTTTTTGTCTTCTTCTCTCTTTCATTACTCATTTTATTGTTGTTGTTTTTTTTTACTTTCTTTCTATTGTTGCCGACTTTCTTTCTTTCATTGTAAGAAATTTTTTCTTTCTTTCTTTTTTTCCATTCGTGATTTATTAATTCATTTTAAACTCTTTTTTTTTTCCTTTCATTTCCTCATATCTGTATTTATTTCTTTCTTTCTTGTGTTCATGTCTATACATTGTTGCTTTTTTTTCTTTCTCATTCCCCTCATCATTCTCTTTTTCTTTGATTTTAATTTATTTGCTGTTTTCTTTCTTTTTTTCTTTCATTTGTGTTGCCTTTTTCCTCATTTATTTCTTCAATTCAGTCTTTCTTACTTTATTTTTCTTTAAAACATTTTTGTTTCTTTTTTTTTAGCTTCATTTGTTTAATTCTTAATTTCGTTTTAAAATCTTTCATTTTTCCTTTCATTTCTCCATGTTTACATTTCTTTCTTTCTTTTATTTATTTACATTTCTCTTTTTTTTTTCTCCTTCATCTTATCATTCTCTTTTTTCGTTTTTATTTCTTTGCTCGTTCCACTCATCTTTTTTTAATTCATTTTTGTTGTCTGCTTCATTTTTTATTTCTTCAATTCTTTCTTTCTTTTTTTTATTCTATGTTTTCCGCACAGGTTTTTCTTTCTTTTTTTTCTTCTTCCTGTTTTTGATGTACTTCTTCTTTCTTATCTTCGTTGCACACTCTTTCTTTTTCTTCTTTACATTTCCCCGCGTCTGCATCGGTTTACTTCTTTCTTTCTTTCTTTCTTTCTTTCTTTCTTTCTTTCACCCCTCAGTTCGTTTCTCAGCCTGCATTCTTCTTCGCCACCGACTGATACAATTCTCTTATAAATGGCCGCTCATTTTCTTACCCTCACCGATAACCTCTGCAGTCAGATAAACCCCTTCCACACTCTTCTCGTACCCCGAGTACGTATAAGCAATACAGAAAGCGGGTTGTCATTTAGTTAACCCCACCCTGGCCAATCCATTTATAAGAATACCCATCTTCTACTCCCACCCGTCAGTTGACCAACCACACACATACTTTTTTCCTCACTCATACCCCTACAAATTCATAGAAGTACCCGGTAAAACAAGTCTTCATGACTCGCTGACGACAGACCTAAATTACGTCGGGTAGGAAAGAAAGAAAAGAAAAATACCCCAAATAAACCCCACCCCGGAATCAAACACACACACACAAACAGAAATATAATATATTTAGTTAGATACACGCATATATATATATATATATATATACACACACACACATACATAAATACGACTACGTGAAGATGCATGTATTTATGTGTGTATATGTGTGTGTCTGTGAGTAGGTAAGTCCGTAGTCAAGCATTTAATACATATATAAAATTGGTTCCCCTCTTTCTCTCCTAAACACAAACACAAGCAACCCTCACCAAAAACAAACACGCATAGAAATATAATATATTTATATGCACACACACACAAGCATATACATACATTATATATGTATGTAATATATATATAGACACCACTGCGTGAAGAGGTTTGTATGTGTGTATATATACATATATACATGAAACACACAAACATTGAAATATAATATATTAATATATATACACACACAAGCATATATCATATATATATATATAACTTTATACTCACACACACACACACACACACACACACACACATATATATATATATATATAGCACTACGCGAAGGTGCATGTATGTATGTGTATTTGTGTAATAAGAAAGAATGTCTGATTTAAAATAAAATCCAGTAATTCCTTTTATATATATGTATGTATTTGTGTGTGTGTGTCTCTATGTATGCATATATATATATATATATATATATATATATATACGAAAATAGTCCGTGGACTAACATGTAATAAATGGATGAAACTCGATCTCTCCCTCTGTCTCTCTCACGCAAACGCACGCACAGATAGAGACAATTACATTTTTAAAGTTATTATGTCTCTGTGTGTCCATTTGTCTGTGTGCCTCTGTGTGTATATCTATGTTTAAACGTAGATCATTGCGTCTGTCGCCTAACGCGCACTAAATTTGATCTAAAGTTTTCAATGTATAATGTATGTTATTTATATTCATCTCTGAATTAAGGGCATTAACAGGAAAGGAGATTATGTTAGAAAATAAATAACTGTCATGTAAACTAAATAGTTTTTTTTCTTCTTCCTTAGAAGATGAATCAACATGTATATGTACGTGTGTAATGAAATTATATACATATTCTCACACATCAGCAAACAGACAAGCACATATAGATAGATAGATAGATAGATTAGAACTGCTAGTTGCTGGGTATCCTAGTTAATTTGTGCGCCTTGTCAGGCAGGGTTACCTTACATGACAATACAAAGAGTCAATGTAACTTTACAACCAGTCTGCCACTGCAGATTGAGGAAGAGAAAAGCCATTAAAAAAGAAAAAAAACGTCCAAATGTAAGGTGCTTCTTTTTTGTTGTTCTTATTCGTTAGGCTTTTATTAACAACTTACCAATGGATGTTATTTCCGTCGGCTCTCCTTTATCCGGAGTGGCCTGATTATTTCAGGTCGAAAGAGAAAAAGGCTTAAATGTAAAGCATAACTTATTTTTACAAAGTCTCTCTCTCTCTCTCTCTCCCCCTCTCTTTCCGTCTTTATTTCCCCCTCTCCTCTCTATCTCTCTCGCTCTCCTCACTCTCTCTCTCTCTCTTCTCTAGTCACTTTCATTTACAATCTTTATCATCCGTCTTGTAATTTCTTTCTTTACTTTCTTTCTCTTTTCTTTCTTTCTTTCTTCTTCACCCTTTTCTTCTTTCACTCTTTTCCTTTCCCTATTTTTTTTTCGTTCTTTCTTTTCTTTTATCCCTCTTTCTTTCTTTCTTTCTTTCTTTTTGTATCTGTTTGTCTTTCTTTCTTCCTATCTTTTTCCTCCCATAACCATCCATTAATCATTCTGATCACACTCTTTTCATTGAACGGTCCTTAGAATAAGATCTTTCTTTCTTTATTTCTTTCTTTCTTTCTTTATTTTATAACCTACCCTTAAGCACTCTGACCACACTGTTTTCACTTTGTGATCAGTTCTTTCTTTCTTTCTTTCTTTCTTTCTTTCTTTCTCCCAATCATTATTTCATGTAAAGTATAACATTTTTTCAAAATCTCTCTCCCCCTCTCTCTCCCCTCTCTCCTCTCCCCTGTCTTTTTCTCTCTTCTCTTTTGTAGTCACTTTCATTTTTACAATATTTCTCTTTTGTCTTGTAATTTCTTTCTTTCTATAACTCATTTAACTTTCTCCTCTTCCTTTCTTTTTCTTTCACTATTTCTTTCTTTCAATCTTTCTTTTTCTCTCGCTCTTTCTTTTCTTATTTTCACCCTTTCTTTCTGTCTTTCTTCTCTTCCGTCTTTCTTTCTTTAACACTTTCTTTCTTCCATTTATTATTTCACTCTTTTTTTCATTCACCCACTTTTTTCTTTCTGTCACTCTTTTCATTCTTTCTAATTTTTCTTCTTTCTCTTTTTCTTTTTTTTTATTCTACTGTCCGATTTTATTTATAAACTTGTTTTTCGTACCTTTTCCTTTTATTTTTTTTTTTATTTCTTGCAGCCGAGTTTTCCTTCTTTTTTTTTTTTTGTTTTTATTCTTCCCTTTTCCTATTTTTGTTTTCTTTCTTTCTTTCTTTCTTTCTTTCTTATTCATTAATTCATACATTCATTTACACTGTTTTTCTGTCTTTCCAAATCTTATCCCCACCCCGGCCACTAGCCGCTACTTTTTTTTTCAATGTTCATATAAATTTCTTCGAAAGCATTTGACCTACTCTCTTTTCTATACAACTTTTCTGTCACCCACCCTTTTATAACTCCAGTTGTTGATGTTCTTATATCGAGGCTTTTATTTATCTGTGTCCCTACCCAGGCAAACAGGACACAGGGTCGTTTAACGAGTGGGCAGAGGCACACAAATCGACTCGCCTTGGCTGATGTCTCCACGTTCCTCCCCTTACAGATAATAATATGCTGCTAAATATTTCATGGCGAGGTACACCATATACAAAGATTAGTCTAACCCAAATATGTAGTACCCAGGTTCACTAAATTCTGGTTCTAAATTAACTGAAGGATCGTAAAAAATTGGTGAGATATGGATCAGAAAATAAATGTAGACGCAAGGAGAATTCTCGCGGTTTTTTCTCAATAAACGAATATTCTACAAATCGCCGTAACTTTTCTTCCAACCATAATAAAACGTGATGTTAATGAGAGTTTATAATAAACGAGGTGAGGTGTCAATAAATGGGGCGCTTGAGAAATGTTTATATCATGTCTATCAAACTAAAGGGTATTCCAATAACTTAAATGGATATTAAGTTTAAGCGTCTAATGGTTTATTTTTCTTTCAGATTTAACAGCTTAAGTCTTTGGCAATTTAAACCATGGAAAGATTAACAATCATACAATGTGTTAAAGTTTCGAGAGTGCAATTGGAAAAATTGTTCGTAAATTCAAACAAACGGTGGCAGATATGAAAACCCCCTTGCGTGCTCGTTTACGCCATTCAGGTGAAAATATTGCTGCAGTGCAAGAGAATGTAGCCGAAAATCCAGACACCTCTATTCATCATCGCGCGCAGGAATTGAACCTCTCCACAACAACGTTACATCGTTTTTAATTGCACTCTCGGTTGATCGATTATGTTGACCAAAAAATCGCGAAGTGTGCGAAATGCATTTCTGTTTGAACGTCCATTTTCGTAATAGGCTTCCATAACTTTAATAATGTTATAATAATAATGCATTTTCCAGACATTACACGTTTTCTGCTTTTTATATCTTGGTATTTAACAGAGATCCCCCCTCCTCAACAGGATTAGACTGCGACACAAGGACGTTTATTTAACGTGGAAACCAAAGCGCAAACACTCGGGTCACTGTGCAGGTAGCCGTTCAGATTAGATCTATCCCGTAAAAAGTGTAGAGAAGACTGACCTCGTGGCCCTGTTCTTCCTAGGTTTATACTATGGGTCGGTAAGTGGTCAAGGAGTACATTAAATTCGTGTGGGATTGCCCTTCGCTTTGGTTCTGGGTCTTTGATCTTTTGTTTTCGCTTATCCAGGTATTTAGTTTCAGAAACGAAGTTAACTGATTGACCTGACCTTAAGAATACCGGTGCTCGTGTTAACGAGGTGTTAAGCCGAAGATAAGTAGATGCTTTGCAGGAGATTTAAGAATTTTTATTTATTTATTTATTAAAATTGACACACTAGTACGAACTTACTGGCTTCAAATATATGAAGAAGAAAAAAATTGTAACGATGGGCAAAAGCAGGTTAAAGTACATTTGCGTGCTGGCGTACATAAAAAGGTAACATTCGATAAAAGGATCTGGTAATAAAACGACTTGCTATAGAAAGATAAGCTTCGTGAATAGTGATAAGGAAACGACTCCATTCCCTTTTTTCACAGATAATTTAATACAGTTTACTTGATTCACTTGAGAGAGGCTATGAGAGACATAAAGAGGTACTGCTTCCAATTATATATTTTTTTTAAAATTCAGGGAGACTTGTCAACATCATGTGTACACGTGTGAAAGATACACGATGTGTGAGCTGAATATTCTGGAAAGATGAACGGAGCGATCAGTTACCCAGTGTTTCGCATGTCTCGCCGGATATATCAGACATCTCCTGAAAAGACTTCCCTAGGAAATGGAGAACGTGATTTTCATTCATGTTGTCTTTCTTTCGTTGTATGAGGACGTTCTGTAATATCTTAATAGCCTCCAAAGTTTTAGGCAATACGACATATTGGGTGACACAAGCATAGTATCCATAAAAAAACAAAAAAAAAAAAAAAAAAAAAAAAAACGATGGAGTCATTTACACAAGAAACGACACGGAGATTCAATATTGTCTGAGTAACTGTACACCTGTCATTGAATCAAAATATCGTCTAACAGTCATCTGACACGAATCAAAATACAATCAGGCTATTTTGAGGTGGTGTAATGGTTAACAAGCTTGCCTCGCTGGATCAAAGAAAATTGTGTAATGAGTTTTGATTTTTAGTAGGTGCTCAATATTTGCGACCTCGTGTCACATCTAAGTTTCGCTTAGTAAATCGTTATAAATCTACGAGAAAGATCACTTCGACATAATGCAATGGTTGGCAAGTGTGCCCCGCTAGATCAATTACTGAGTAGTGAGTTCGATTCTTAATAGGTGCTCCATAATTTCGGCCTTGTGCCAAATCTTAACTACATCAGTAAATAAATAAGCTCCCAATGCATGCTGTTTTCATTTAACTACAGAGCAGACGCCTGGACCCGGGGATCCCGATTCCGCGGCAGTACTTTCCTTATTGATCTAAAAGTAGTAGAGGCGGTAAAAGGTGGTAGAGGCGGTGTAATATCGATGCCAGCGTGACAGTGGTCCTGAGTCCTGGGTAATTTTTGGACTGTCTGATGACGTCTCACATTAAAAACGAGCATGTGTCACATCCTGCTGTGAAATGTTATCAACAGAGCCATGTGTTTGAATAACATTTATTTGTCTCACGTGGTGGTATACGACGTCATAGAACTGCATTACGAATTTACGATCTGCGTCTGCTATTCCGCGACCGTTAGCAAACTTCTGTGTAAATATAACAGGATGTCATCTTTGATGATGAACATCTCTGTCGTAATGTCCATATAACCACTCTGATGATGGCTCATGCGAGCCGAAAGCTTAGATCGAGAAACAGCATAATATAATATATCCAAATGTTGTAAAGTGTTTGTTTTTATTTTCTCCCAAAACTAAAGTCACTATACGAAGCTTAGAACGGCTCATGATCAAATATAATGAACATCCGTTGCCTGTTATTTTTAACAATATATGATCTGCTCTCTCAATACAATATATATATATATATATATATATATATATATATATATATATATATATATATATATATATATATATAAGACAAAATGGAAAAAGTTTATTCCTCCTTTAGGACTTCATCGGACTAGGTTTGTTGAAGTTGTTGTGACTACACAGGCTCATGAACGAGAGACGCTGGTAGTTTCAAAATTTTGGGGAATAAGTTTTTGCAATCTAGCCAAATTCGTCTATATTCTTTTTCTTTTTCATTCCGTCAACTTTGATTTTAAATATCACATATTGTGATAAAATAAAATCTACCAATTATATCACACACACACACACACACACACACACACACACATATATATATATATATATATATATATATATATATATATATATATAGACATATATATATAGTGGCGGATTGAGTCTAAAATCATCTTTTGCCAGAAGATACAGGAGGTACAATGCTGTCATTTAATTTTCCTAAAAGTAAATAAAATTGACAAAAAATTCATACGCAAGAAAAGAGTACAATTAATGTTTTTGTGGAAAAAATATGTAATACTTAGTATTTACTGTGTACAGGGTTGTCCGAAAGTCTTTTCATCGCTACATAATATAATTTTATATTTCAATGCTCAGTATTATCGAGGAGAGAGTTTCACATGAACGATACCAGAATACCCATCAGTTGAAGGACGCCGTTCAGAGAGTCATTACAACAGCTTCATGAAATATCACACAGAACATGGCGCCGCATCATTTTGTGCCATTAAAATGATGGTGTTCATACAGACCTCCTCAATGTATGACGGCGTCAATGAAAGTGAATAAAACTGAATCCATTACATGTGCATTGTATTACTGTTCTATTGTTCTCATTATTTTTGTGGGTAGGGGTGACAAGACTTTCCGACAACCCTGTACTATGGCCAAGAAATGGGGTATGTGTTTAATAGTAAAGAACAATACAAAACTGATCCTTGACTTTTTATCATCCTTTCATTTGATTACCTAGAAGAATGTTTTGGAATTTCATTTATGCATTAACAGCGTAGTCCGAAAGTCCTGTTACGCCTACATAATATAATTTTCTATTTCCGATGGCTAACACGCAAATGATGCTGTTCATATCGACCTTCTCGATATGTGACAGCGTCAATGAAAGTGAATAAACTGAATCCATGTTATTTGTATACTATATTGTTCTCATAACTTTTTGGTAAGAGGTGACAAGACTTTTGGACCACCGTGTACATTCCTTGTACATATTACCGGCAGTAGATAAGTGTAAATACAGAATGTCATAATTGAGTTGTTTATTTATTGTTTTATATTTTTAAATAGTTTACTGCACATTAACAGTTCAAAGGTACAGTAGAGCACTGCATGCAGTTCATTATATTAAGAGCAATCGTTTGAGTTCACTCGATGATTGTCCGAATCTGCCAATAAATGCTTCTTGATCAAATTCATGTAACAATCCCTTTTCAATGGATAGCAACATATACGATTCGAAATTCTCTTCCGGATAAGGAATTTTTTAACCGTATTTTCGTGATTTTTGGCTTTGAAAATATCCTCTCATATTGGACTTGGGTAACTGATAGTGTGCAGATGACTTGATTTATTACTAAAACAGTTGTCTTTTTTGTTTCTTTATTGCATTTTTAGTTGATATAAAAGATTACCTCCTGGCCAGTCCACCATTCTATTCATATTTGTTCCTATCCTTTTCAAAAATTGACCGAAACAAAATGTCAAGGCATCAGAATCATACAGAAAAGGTGTTTTATTTCGGACATTTTTTTTTCCTGCTCCGTGCATCATTCATAGATTGTTTGAAACCTTACAATCCGAATGGATTTTGACAGCAGCAATTTGCCAGCACCGCGTGACATCGGGCCGTATTACGGGAAAATGTACTGGCGCATACCATAGAATGATTTCTTAATAGAATACGCATACCTACCACAGTAGGTAGAGAAAAATATGAACGTACTTTCGCACGTGGTCGGGCTACTTAACCGACATCACCAATGGAGCAATTAAAACGAAAGGGTTTTGCTTTTCTTTTTTTTTTGTTTCGAATTGACTTGTTGTAACCTGTCGAAAACCCTCTCTCTCTATCTATCTATCTATCTCCCTCTCTCCATATATATATATATATATATATAGCAAAAAAAATCCCCTCAACATGTTTTCATTAATCAGTTTAATACGTAATGTTACTAGGATCCACCCGGATTATATATATATATATATTAAAAATATTTTATACGTTATTTTTCATAGGTACAATTAATTTAAGTAAATGCCCGTTTTTTGGGGGATGCGAGGGTTTGCAATTAAACACTATTAATTAAATTTAGCGGCCTGAATGTTGAGGGAATTTCGTAGAAAATATAAATTCTCCGACAGAACTTGAACCTGTTGTCATATACGGAAACCGTCATTTGACCTGACGTGCTATACAGTTTAGCTAAAGAGAAGTGGGTAGTTAGCAAAGTTCAAATTATTGTTTTCAAACACACAGTCTTTGACGACATTTCCCGATCGATCATATCTGCTCACGAATCGTATTTTAACGTAAACAATGAAAACGTATAATGAAAAGGATTAAGTCCGATTAAAAGATTTTTTCTCTCAAAATCATTCCATCACCTGTTATTTATCATCGCCTGAGTGAGGAGACACAACATTGTGTCGAAACATGAAAGGTATCGTGTAGCGATTTCAACATGATTTTGTTATAATCTCCTATAATATTTTAAAAAATCATATATGGCTCAACTTTGTAATGAGCACTTTTTAAAAAGAAAATGCTACGAACAACGGAATTTTACTTCATCTGTCCTTTCTTTCTTTGAATATATATATATATATATATATATATGGTTGGATAGATGTGAGTTTGTGACCCTGGGTTTCACGCTTTTGCGATCGTCAGACAAACTCTTTATATTATATTATTTATATTTATATACACACACTTTTCACACACACACACACACACATATATATATATACTTAATAGAAATCTTATAAGTATAAGAAACTATACTCGCCCGGAAAACCTTCGATATATTGATTTGCAAATAAACAAGCCAATACCAAATGGAAAAAAAAGGTATAAAAAAGGAAAGAACCAAGAACATGTACGTTAACCGAAAATAATCGTCCAGCATATGAGTTCAAGGCCCAAAGAAAAAAAAACCTGATGCGAGTATCCAAAACAACTAAATAAAGTGCATAATGAGAAGAGCAGACCTAGTTAAACCTAGCGAGCCAAACAAACCTACCAAGGTTTCACCTAAGCAGATCGTCAGGGAAAGCTGGCTAACAAGATAAAACAAAAGAACGGAATATATAGTCAATAAACCAAAAACCATAACCAAAAAAAAAAAAAAAAAAAAACAATCGAGGTCGAGGAATACCATTTATTCAAAATGACGAAAGAGGGAGGTAGGGTTAAAAAAAGAAAAACACGGATCAACAAGGGTGGTAGGTTTGTCTGGCTCTCTAGGTTTAACTATATATATATATATATATATATATATATATATATATATATATATTGACGAGACGAAAATATGGTATAGATATGAAAAGATTTTGAGGTAGTAGTGTGGCTGAGAACATATCATAATCTTTATATATAGTGTTTTCAGTTCACGACTAGTTCTTTCTGTTTGTATGTATGTTTCTTGTGCGAAATTTTGACCCTGCGGTCATCTAAAATGAGAGCCCCAACTCAACTTTTGCTTCTTGCCACGAGTTGCTGTTCGTTTTCTGCCTGACTGACTCCACCGATGTATCCTCTGTGTGCCGAGGCGGTGGATAGGCGGGCTCGAACAAAGCTGTTCTGCGTCTAAAATCTCTTACCTTCCCAGCGAGGAAGACATTCTTGGTCACGTGAAGCGGAAGCCTACTACGCGCATGACTGAACATTTGGCCGGAAGTTACTAAGCTAGCCAGCTCAGACAGGTTATTTGAACATCGTTTTATGATCTACTCTTTCGTTCTGTCTACGTATTTATTTATCTCACCTCCATTATGTTTAAAAATATATTAAAATATTTAAATCTCTTCCTCGATCCTCAATTCTCTGTTTCTCTCTCTCTCTCTCTCTCTTTCTAACCTGTGCTTTTCCTTCCAGTCAAATATCTGTTTTTTTTAAATTCTTATTCATGTAGATTAATGTCTATCTATCTATCTATCTATCTATCTATCTATCTATCTAATTCTGTGTCCATATATCTATCTATCTATCTATCTATCTATCTATCTATCTAA